AAGGTTTACATTTCAAAACCTTCAATTGATTTGCAATATTGTACAAACATTAGTTGATAACCAACTTGCATTTTAAAAGGTTAAATCTTACTAACCACAGTTCTTCACAATGACTCTGAGAAGTACACTTCAAAACTAGTTACTTATGAATAGATTGTTAACATTAGGATAGGCCTCTTCAGAGTTTGACAAAATAAACTGAACCTTTGAATTATTTCATTCAAATACTTTTTCTAGTTCTGTTTGATTGCGTAATTTAGAATTAGTTGTATTTTCTTATTTTAGTTACCTACTAAATATATAGTTTGTACTCACTATTGATTGATCACTGGGTGGTGATCAATGTCATGTGTGTTAAGTCCTTATTTAGTGCAGATCGAATGCTATCGACCATATTGCAATGTGGCTACCAATCTTTTTGTACTTTTCATTCGCTTATTATTAATTATGAATCTTCTGAGTATCATGAAAAATAAAATAAATTGGTTTTTTTTTGTTTTTTTTTAATTAAATTTTATTTTAACTCATCGACTGTAATCATAATTTATTCCAGATAAGAAATAAGTACAATGTACATATGTATGAAATGACTAAATGTCCAATTCATGATTTGAATATCACAGAAGTGAAAGAGTAAGGGAAAGGGAAAATATGGAACAAAAATTCAAGTGAAATACATAGAATTATAAAGATGTGACCTTTCGGTGAAACTCTACTAAGTATTTATTAATGACATCACATACTGTCGTAAATTTGAAAAAAAAACATGCAGAGAGGTTGTGAATGGGTGATAGTTTAAAACGCTTTATACTAAGAAGAGAATACTATCTAACGTTTCTTAATTTTTAATGATTACCTAATAAAGGTCAGTTCAACAAATATTACCAATACTTGTTGTTCAAAACATACTTCTTTCATATGTTAGTATCTATGTGAGTCCAGCAGTTCGGTAGATAACACAATAGGCATTTGAAGAGAAAGGTATATGGTTTAAGTGCCAGTGTGAACATTACTACTGAGATGTAAATATATTCAGCTGATGAGTTTGAGCCAGAACGAAACATCTATCCTGAATTCCGCTGCTAACCATATTCTATCTATTCTATGTTAGTCCCCATAAACTTTAGCTGATAAGGAGTCAATTATCATGTGATATTCTCAAGTAAATGAATAAAAGTGCCAAATATTTGGGTAACATAAACTTTTTTGATTGAGACCATGAACCGATTGATGTTAAACCACCATTGAAATCCTAGAAGCACTGGACGGCCGTTTCATCCTATTGTGGGACTCCTCAGCAGTTCATATCCACGATCCCGCTCGCGGCATTCGGTTCATTATCTCAATCAAAACCTAATAATCTCCACAACTCGATACTGATAATCACCATGTGCTCACTAGTGACTAGCTTCGTGAGGGAACTCTCGGAGTTCTAGTGAGAAGCTGTGACCACTGGAGCTAATCCATGTCGAGCAGAGATAGGTATTTACCCCAGTAAAATGGAAGATGGTTGCGCAACTTTGCGTATTGGTTGAGATTATTCATTAAAACTCAGTGGTATAGAGTTTAATCGTTGGTGCGCGAGACTAAAGGCCCTGGAATCGTGGATGTGTGCTGCTGAGTAGTTCCACAATAGGATGAAACGGCCGTCCAGTGCTTCCAGGTTTTCAATGATGGTCTAACACCAATCAGTTCATGATCTCAATCAAAAACTTAATAATCTCCACAATCCTATACTGATAATATAAAATTATTTTAAGTAAATTAATGAATACATTAATTTAAAAAGTGCTGTCACGAAATAATGTTCTGAATTCAAAAAGATGGCAAAAGCAAAAATACAACAAAAAGTACATCTTCAAGAAGAATATAATTTGTGTAAGCTTTGTTTAAATGTTAAATGTTTAATATATCTTCTAAGGTATTCAAATCTATCCGATCAAATTTATCTCAATGACAATACAATATATCACATAATTAACACATCATGCTTGAACCTGGTATAAAGAAAGTTGACTAAAGCTATTCCAACTACAGGTGATATGTTCAACCCCTCAACCATATACTTTATTCATCTAATTAAATATCATATTTCTTAATGAAATTGATATCTCAGAATAGATTGAACTAAACCCTATTTAAAGTTGGAGTCCTATTACTTAACACAATTAACGAAACTAAACCTTCGAACACTAAAAAATTGGTTGATGATATTCAATTCTATTAATCATATTATTTAGGTGATTAGGAAACGATGGTGTAATGTTTCAAGACCATGTTGCTGTTCTAAAAACAAATCACTTGGTTGACAAACAAATGTCCATTATTGGCTATCATAGAATTTTCTGATGTTTATAACATTCCGAAAGTGATTTTCACATATAATAATGTTGGAATATTTAGAAAAATATCCCAAAAATTATTCTCTTAAGTCTAACGCTATCCTTGGACTTGAGATGATGTTATTTCCTCATTGGTCAACGTTTATTTCACGTGTCATTTTCCTACTGGTCAATATTGTACAATGTTATTTTCTATTTTATGGTACGATGTGGTCTGCTTGACTGGTATATAAACAAAGTATGTTTGAAATATAACGATTCATAACTCAGAGGCTGAGACTTGTGTTCTGGACTCAACTGGCTGGGCTAGACAGTGAAGCAGGACCAATCAGAACCCTAGGCTGTTCTTACGTATTTGCGCGTCTGTGGTCCGGTCGATTATTCGCTGTCCTCTAATCTGCTGCCGTCACGGTTATAGCAAATAAAATGTCATAATTGTGTGTTTTATCATTTGAAAGGATATATATATTCAACCTTAACAATAAAATTCGAGTGCCAATAGTATTATTCATGCAAGAAGTGAAAATCTATTTGCTAATTCTACACTAGGCTGATAACAAATATGTTCACCTTTTTTTTCTTTCAAGTAAAAATCTTAATCTTTCAATACATTTCTCTCTTATCCATTTTTTCCCGATCATTTTGATTTTATTTTACTCTCAAATTACTAAATATTTAATAAAAACGATATTCAGTATCAGTTGTGTTAAAGATTTTTAACTTTCATCTTTTCTCTCGCCCAAAATACCCGAGTACAGCCGAGAGTGGGGAGAGTCAACTCTCCTACCCCAAATGCTCTCACATAGCCATATGCATACAACCACTTCCAGGAAAGTCCTACTCACTACATTCTGGCAGTGGGGGTGTTGTTTACGAAATTGAGAGGACGAAAAGCTAATGTCCGGGTTAGTGGACATGGAAAGTCCTCCTAGGGGAGTTGGAAAACACCGATTCCAAACCAATGATGCACATGGGCTTCAGGATCCTGTAGGAACAACTAGCGTATGAACAAATCGTTGGTCACCTGCTACCATAGGACTGCATCTTCTGACGCTGCTCCACTGCTTTATGGATTAGACCTTTAGGTCGAAGGCTACGGGTGTGGTCCCCTAAGAAAACCACCTGGTTCGGTTTGGGCATCCGGACAGTATACAATCCCTCACACAAATCGAATTGTTTATGTGGCGCATACCTGTTTGGTGCCTCCATGTACCGATATTTATGTGTTTAAATAAGTAACAATGATAATAAATAACACAATCTTTTCTATCGGAATTATTTTTCTTTATTGAGTGTTTCTCCATTAGTATTGATTCAAAATATGACTTTTTTTCGATTTTACGTGAGACATTCGAAATATATGGTACATTTCATGACTTTCACTCTTGACTCACATTTAGGATTCTCCAAGATATCTTTGTTATTTTACGTTCATTTCTAGGTAACAAATACTACCTACCATATTTTTGAATTTAGAGACAAATGATTTCATTACTTTCTAAATAAGGCTGTTATTTTCGTATCATTTTCAATTATGAAATTTTAAGGCATTTAAGTAGATAATAATAAACTTAATAAGTAGTATGAATCTATGTGATTTTACAAATTTTGTTTTAAACCCAACAATATGAAAAATCTCAATAATTGATTATATCTTATATTCTACTTGGTGTTGTTTACTTGTATCTTCCCATTGATTATATTTTATAGAAAAAAATCATGTATAATTTAAAATGATACTAGAAATATACGATCCTATAATTATTAATCAAAGTGTTTTGATGTTGATTACCATAGGGTTTTATTGGTTTGAGTAGTTTAACACAACGTACTCAACAAGAAAGTTGAAATCTTTAAATAAGATTCCCTGTAGGATAGTTAATATTGTCCATTTCACCTTGGTATACCGATCAACGTCGAGGTGTACAGAACAAGCTGTGAAATGCATTTGGAGAAATTCGAACACTTCACTTCTATCTGAAGTTTGTGCTGATGATGTCGTTCAGAAGAACGACGAAAGCCCCACGACTAAACCATCCAGCACAGAGAACAAAACTTCATCAAAACCTTGGTATACTAACTGATATCAAACCTACCATGAAATTTAACTACAGTTCACAGTTATAATCAAACATGGTTTTGCACGAATAAAATAATTAATATACCTAAGAGCAAATTTTTTTAAAAAATGAGGATAGATACACCAAAAACCTATTGATGTTTAAATGCTCATTAGAAACAAAATGGTGACAAATTAACAATGTACGTTTCAACCAAATGTTTTAGAAAATTATGACAATGAACAATAAACTTAACAATGCAAATGATGACGCAATATCAGTATTACAAATCTGTTGGTGAATTTAGTTTATATTATGAATAATAATCAGCAAGAAATGCCATGAAGACTATTTGTAATAGTCTGAATTTATCATTATTACACTCGTACAGCATGACACAGAATTAGGCCTAAAATATTCAAACTTTATAGTTAACATAATATCATTGAGTCCTTAAGTTACTTTGTTACGTCAGGTTAAATAAACAGACAAAATACTCATTGTTCAATGATATAAATATGAGAGTCGGATGAAAAAGCAATAATAAAAAGAAAGATGTACTTTAAAATGAAAGATAAGCTAAAAAAAAATAACCTACGGTAGTTTTTGACAAATTGGACGATGATTGGTTATTTATTTCAAAACTGGATTGTTTCGTTAAACTTGATCTAGTACTTATACCAGTACATGTGTTGGGTATTTTGTACGCGCATTTTTTGTGAAAATTTTGACTACAACCTGAAAATACATTGACAATTAAAAAGGATAAATGAATTTACATTATCTTAATAAAATTCTAAAGTAAACCATGTTACACATTTGTAAATAAACATTACAAACTATGTTGATTTCTCTTAGAATACTGGAATACTTGACTGTCTACGGGGCCTGCCATTGTTAATTGTGCCAATATTGTTATATATTGTGATTGATTCAGCTCAACTATTTTGGGTATGAAGCAGCCATTCACCGACATCATTCTATGATTGTTGCACAATATAACAGGTAGAATATATAGCTCACAAGTTAAAATGTATTGTACCTACTCCGTAACCTACATGTCCTGGACATGATCTCGTTTGGTACAGTGGATGGTTACTCTCTGGAGGTCATAAACCTCGACAAAACAAATAAAATAATTCTATATAAAATAAAATGGATCCTCCTCATCATCTGATATATTCAATAGTAATAAATAGTTTAAACTCCATTGACAGCTCAATGTCTGCGCCAACTAGTTGGCTTATTTATTAAATTAAATTCTTATCATTCTTTTTTCCAAATTAATGAGTTTAGTAAATGAAATAAAATTTTCTACGAGAATTTCTGAAATACGTAGTATATAAATAAAAGTAGTAAAGACTACAAAACAAAGGGAAGTTTAATACCGCTATAAAATGTTTTCCCGTACAATTAGCTACCTTAATAAATCTAAACAAGAAGTGGACGATTATATATCTACAACAAATCGGACTCAAAGTATTCCTCTGACTTCTTTTCGGCTACATTTAAGTCAATGAGTCCACATTTTTTTTCAGAAAAAAATGGATTACATTCAATAAGAATCAGCACTTAATCTTCAACGACCTTTGTGAAGAAGTGGATTTAGAACTTTCGTTTCTTTAATTAAGCGATTATAATATCATGAGTCGAAATCGTGTCTTTTTTACAATAAGATGAAGTTTAAATTCATTTTATAATAAATAAGAAAGGTGAGTCCAGCAAAGAGTTCTCTTTTCGGCGAATTCATTGAAGACAATGGTGTATGGTGGCGCAACTTCGTAGATTGGTTGATGTTAGACATTAACATCGTTGGATTCTAGCCGGCTCAGTGGTCTAATTGTTAAGTGCCCGCGCGCGAGATCGATAGCTCCTTTGGTTCGAATCTCGTGGGTGGATGCACACTGCTGAGGAGTCCCATACTAGGATGAAACGGCCGTCCAGCGCTTCCAGGTCATCCATGGTGTTCTAGCTTCAATTAATTCATGATTTCAACTACTGAAATTACTAAAATTTCCACAAAACCCCTCCTGAATATATGATTGCCCTCTTTTTTGTATAAAATATTCGTCCTTCTTTTTTTCAAACGTAAAATAAAACAATAACAAATGATTCTTTTTAAATCGGATAATTAAAGTTACACTTGAAAATGATGTTTGTCAGACTAAAGATAAAACCTTCAGTTAGAAAGTAATAAATTATTTTCCCTACTTCAGGACATAAATTACCTCCCTTGTTAATAATAATGATATTAATAATAATAATAATAATAATGGTTGTATTCAGTATCCCATTTTCATTACAATATGGGATTCTCGACATGCAACATTTCAACAAACTCCTTTTACTTTCCATATATCATGAAGAGGTATCTTCTTCTGTACACATATATACATGAAATAAGTAAATAAATTATTTAGAATTAAATGAAATCATTATAAGGTAAATAAGAATATATACAAGTGAACTAGCAACATATTTGCTAATATAACATTCCAGTTAAACTAATGTTTACTACCATTTTATTTCATGGTAGATGAATTAAATATGATAATGTAGATCATTTTCTACTCTTGTTTGCATGCATGAATTTTAATATATTTGTTTTTTGTCCTGTTGGAAGTGATATGAAGTGGAAAGATAGAAAATGAAGTGAATTATTTGCGTCTAATGAAACATTACTTGTTAACTGTTTGCAAAATTTCAAATATCTATCTACAATCATACTCATAGTGATATCTTAAATTCACTATACTTATTACTGGGAGCCTTCCATACTTCATTCAACACAGTAGAAGTTTTTTCTTAAACTTTCAAGAAAAATTATGTATATTAGGTAACACATGAGAATTTGCAAATTTAAATAGTTAAGGTCGATAAGTGCCAGAAAAAAGAAAACACAAACCCTCCCCAGATAATAAGTTCAACGTAAAACATTAAAGACAAATAAACATCAGTTAATTATAACAATTATTCTTATCAATGTTTCTTTGCTATAAGTGTTTTATACAGTATTGTTTTAATTTATAAAATAAAAGCATAGGAATTCATACAATCCCAATGTATACTAAGAAATTACATTGCATATATAAATGGGACGACAATAACAAAAAATTGTCATCAGTATAGGGGTTGTGGAGACTGTTAAGTTTTTGATTGAGATCATGAATCAATTGATGTTAGACCACCGTTGGAAACCTGGAAGCACCGGAAGGCCGTTTCTTCCTGGTATGGGACTCTTCAGCAGTGCGCATCCACGATCCCGCTCCCTGCGAGGTTTGAACCCAGGACCTATCGGTCTCGCGCCAGGCGCTTAACCAGCTAGACCACTGAGCCGGCATCCAATGCTGTTAGTGTCTAACATCAACCAATCCACGAAATTGCGCGACCAACTTTCATTGTACTGAGGTAGATATCTGTCTCTACCCGACACGGATTAGGATCAGGAGTTCTAGTGAGAAGCCGTGACCAGTGGAGCTGGGTTCGAATCTCGCAGAGAGCGGGATCGTGGATGCGCACTGCTGAAGAATCCCATACTAGGAAGAAACGGCCGTCCAGTGCTTCCAGGTTTCCAACGGTGGTCTAACATCAATTGATTCATGATCTCAATCAAAAAAATTGTCATGTTAATGAATTCATTACAATAATAATAGAACATGAAAATTGAACAAACAAAAAAGGAGAAGAAAGTGCCACCTGCCAAAATAGTTATGTACAAAATAAAAAAACAGTATTACAAATCAGCTGAATAATCGCATAATTATAAATGATTTATTGGATTGACTATTATTCATATAAATACCCAGAAACAATAAACATCCATTGAGACATAAAATAAGACTAAACAATTAGTTTAGCGAAAAAACATATTCTCTTAAACTTTTTATCATAGCTATACGACGGTTTTAAATAGCAATCCATGATATGTTTGTTCACATACTGACTCCTTGTTATATATATATAATAGAACAATAATAGAAAATCCTATATTATTAGTATGATTATTTTTAAGAAACTGAGTGAGATTATTGTACAAATCTCAACAGTTTGTAACGTCACGCTGTTGAAATTCAAGACTATAATCTATCAGTTTTTATCCGTATGGGGTTGTAGAGATTGTTGAGAAACTGGAAGTACTGGACAACTTTTTCCTATAGGAAATCTCAACAGTGCGCATTCATGATCCTGTTGGCGAGATTCAAACCTAGGATCTTTGGTCTCGCGCGCGAACGTTTATTGGCCTATATTCATCATAAGCGGATTTTGTCGAAACACCTTTTATTACAAGTTTCAATAACCGGAAATTAGAAACCATTATTAACATCTTTAGTTAGTGGTTATATGGAGCCAGTAGTTCAGTGAATAATCTGTTTAATTTTTAAGTGACAGACAGTGAGTTCGAATTCGAAAATGAATATTAAAACTGGAATCCAAATAAATTTAGCCGACGAGTTCCAAACAAGCCGAAAGCTATAATGTAGATAATGACAATATAATTTAGAATATTAACAAGCAACTTATCGAAATCGTAAAGATCATAACCAGTGTTTAGGGAAAAGATTTATGTTACTGACTAAATTTATAATTTTTATCACATTACATACATTGTCTTTCTTTCTTAGAATGTTTTCATGTCTAAGCTGTTCAAAAACTATTTCCATAAAGTATATTTTAACTGATTAATAAAAACTACTGATCAATCAAGTATTGACGTTATCATCAATTAACATAATACCGAAATTTTATTGATTCATACATACTGTTTCTATCCATAAGAATAGTTGTAACCAATGAATAAAAGAGAGAGAGACATTTAAAAAAAGGAGGGTGAATAACAACAAAATTGATTCAACGAAACCGGAAAACAAAAAAATAACTCTTGTGAGAATAACTGATAAGTGTTAATATTTAACAGATGTTTTATTTTACATTAAAATGTCTGTTTAACCTACTTGTTCAATGATTAGTATATGGTTCTTTTTGGCTGAAGTCTAATATCAAATACCCTGTTAAATCACTGGTTTATAAACATTCTCAAATTTATTTACTATCGTACAATACTTACTAGTTATCTGAATCATTTCACTTGAATAGACATGTAAGAATTTACCTGAACACAGATTTATTTCGGTTAAGTTACATTAAAAGAACATTAAGTTATACAAGCGATTCTTTGACGCAAGTATTAGATTTACTTTTTTAATTTCCTATGAATTCTGTTATGTATAAAATGCAAAGTATTACTGTACAAATCAGGTTGGATAAGATTCAATGCATGACTTTAAAAGCTATTTATAATTCAATCTGGTCATTAGTTCCAACTAGATACATATGTATACTGTTAATAAAATGCCAAACAGTTGATTGATATTAATTTCACACTCAAAATGTTATTAATGTCTCTTAAATTGACGCCGATAATTTCTGCCTCTTATACTAATATCTTGATATCATAAGTATTTTTTCTCTCTTAGCCCCAGTTACTCCAAAAAGACAAATTTTGAAAAAAAAAACATTTGCTAGGTAAAGCCAAAACAAGAATAATTTAAGAGAACACTACAGTTGTATAAAAATATCTACAATGACCGTAACAATAAGTCGAACATTCAATATACCTGAAGAGCTACTTATCCAGAAGGAAATAGAGTCTTTAATCCAAGTAAAACATAAAGCTTAACTTCTATAGAGATAATATTTAAAGTGAGAATATAAAAATTCAAATAATCGATAGGTAAATA